TATTTTTTAGCACATAATTAATGGGAAGTTGTAAAGCTTATTGTTTTACATTATTATTTTCAATCTAAATGGTACAAGTGAGCATGTAAGTACATGGTAGATAATATGCAAAAAAGCTATCAGTAAATTTGAATTCATAATAATTAGTGGCTTTATTGTTTAAAGCACGTCATACATCCACACTGTGTCATACTGCATAGTGCATACTGTGTTATAATAATAGACTAATGGTTACCTTCTGCTGGTCCATCAGTCTCCTCATCACCACTTTCTTTATCTTTTTGTTTGGAATTTTGAGTTGCTACAGTTAAAATAGAGCGCAAAGCAAACAATTAATTTTATGATGGCAATGAATTTTGTCATAGATATGGGCTATGATTTTGTCTTGTAGATTAGAGTGGACACTTAAAAGGTTTCAAATGCAAACATGATGCATGCTATATTGTATGTGTATTAGTATTACAAGTACATGTAATTTGTTTTAGCTATTAAGTTTGTGAATATTAATGAATTTACTTAATTTTATAAGCCAACTAGAATAATTTTGAGATGTTCCCCCATTCTGACTCAGTTTTGTGTCAGTAATTAGTTACCTTGTGGTTCATCAGATTTCTTTTTTTCACTATCTTGTTTTGGGGGTTGAGTTGCTCCATCTAAAATGTATAAATAATGTAAGCACATGATAATAGGCAAAATATCTTTCATTAACTTTCTGCAAATTAATACTTCATTAAACAAGACACCAAAGGTGCGTGGCCTCGCCCCTATAGTTGATTGGGAAGTGTTAGGCTTAGCTAGCCAAGCTGACCTGCAAGTACACCTGTACATTTAGATCAAAAGTGACACTCTGGGCAAGTGTGAAAAGCATGATGGGACTCTGGGAGTCCCTCCAAAAACTTTTGATGTGTTTATAAATTCCAACTAACACTTGGATTTTATCAACTATTTATACACTCTTATTTTAAAAATAGCAATTAAAAATAGTTGCAAAACCACAGCTTTTGATGTGGTCTCTATCAAAGATACGCATCCTAAAAACAAACCAGACTGCATCCCTGCAGAAGTAGCAGCATACTCCAGCTACTCCCAAATTGGAGGTGTGGCATGACATCATCAACTATTATTTATGTATTTGATGGAAGTAAGCCCTGCAACAAGAACTGAGGAAGTTTCAGATTTTTCTCTTCTTATAAGTGCTATATGACATTATAATGGCACAAATACTGTTGCCTAGATGTAAATTGAGTGATTTGAGAGAGTTTAGGACCTTTAGACTACCTACAGTTTACTCGGGTTGAAATTCAAGAAGCTATACTCACCAACAAGAAAGATTAAAGAGTCCCACAAAT